TATATATATATATATATATATATATATATATATAAATAAATAAAGGAAAGAAACACTTAAAATAGTTCAACAGCAGCAACAACAAAACCTAACATGTCAAAGAGGAGAAAAAACTCATTCTGTTTCTACTCACTGTTGGTTTCTGATGATTAGCTTTGCCAATGGCCTAAAGAAAAAAAAAATCCATTTTAGCTTTTGAAGAGAAAACATTAAATTGCGACAGAAAAAATAAAAATCCTCACCTCGAACTCCTTCAGACTGAGGATCTCCACCCCGCTCTCTGTTCCTCGGCTCACCAGATCCTTGTCAAAAGCTTCCATTAGAACGATGGTTTTCACTGACTTCCCCTGCCCGCTGATGCAGTCCAGAATCATCTGAGCCTTCTCAGGTACGTCACATATCACTGTTGAGATGGTGGCTGAAACAGAGGCGTAGGAAACGGTTCACTTGCTCGGTCTCTGATTTATGAGTCACAGAGGAACTGGGTCGTACCTTTGTCGATGATGTAGCCGATGGCCTCCTTGCCGAGCGTGTCGTATAGAGGGACGACCACCAAGTTGTATGTGTAACAGGCCAGCTCTGAAATCGTCCACTAAACCCAAAACAACCCAAATGGGATTGATTGATTTATAATATATTGATAAAAGGAGGAAAATAAATCATGTAAAGAAGAAAACATACACATTTTGTAAAAAGTTGAATGGAGAGATATATCATATATAAAAAAAAAAAAACATTTAACATTCATAAAAGCTGCACATATAATAAAAATTTTAAAGTTTAAAATCTGAGTTGGTATTCTCCAGATTTCAACCAGCAATTAAAAACACGGTTGTAGATCAGGGCTAAAAGTGAGAAAATTGTCTTATTCTCTTTTTTACTGCCTGAAATCAAAGACTGCATTTACCTATGTAGGCAGTTTTATTACTTCCCCTAACAATCAGAAAAAGTGAAGAATTCTATATCAATTTAAATATAATATAACATTTGCAAAGTGCCATGAAAGGCTGTGTACATATGCCGGAGAAGGATAAAGTAGCACTAATACACAGAATAATAATGCATTTCCCATTTCTGGAGGTGAAGATCATTTGGAGATGCTAACCCAACAGCTGAAGCTCCGCACTATTGCAGCATAATGCAGGACCATGAATAGGCAGCAGTAAAAGACAAACAAAATGGAGACATCAAAAAACGAGGCTTCTCCAGGTGGAAGGAGCGAACGAAGATTTTCAAAGGGACATTAAAAGTTACCATGTTTCTCTTTGACAAGAAAGTGAACTGTACTGCCTAAATTAGCATAAAGCTAACTGTTTCTGTTCGGTTTAATCAGACAGTGTTGCTTGGAACCATAGAAAGCATAACCGTAGATCCTGCAAACATTTATCAATACTATTGGTACAAATTGGTACGTTTTAACTAAAAAGTCAACTAGTCTACTTAACTAGGCTGAGCAGTCCCCCGTGGGGCTTGAAAACCTATAATAATAATAATTGAACTTTACTGATCTCACACTGGAGAAATGTATCTCTGCATTTAACCCATCCCCTTGGTAGTGGGCTGCCATTGTGGGGCAACCGGGGATCAGTGTTGGGTTAAGGGTCTTGCTCAGAAACCCAGAGTTGCTGTCTGTTGGACTGGGGCTTCATCTCAGAACCTCAGGATTCCAAGCTCTATGCCCTAACCACTAGGCCGCCACTCCCCCCTAAAAATAACTTTATTGATTTCATATTGAAGTAATTTGACTCTGCATTTAACCCATCCTCTTGGGGAGTAGTGGCCTGCCATTGTGCGGCGCCCGGGGAGCAGTGTGGGGTTAAGGATCTCACTCAGGGACCCAGAGTGGAGTCTGTGGGGATAGAACTTGTATACTTGTACTTGCAACCTTCTCAAAGTGCAAGCGCACTGCTCTAACCACAAGGCCAACACTTCCCCTTGTCTCTTATAAGCTTATTCTATGGGCCTAGTAGAGCACACACTACAGTTAGCAATAAAAGCTGGATTGGACCAACCTGATATAACTCAGAGCAACACAGCAGCAAGAAGTATTGTAAGTAATTGTCAGACACACCCCACCTTGCAACCCTCGACTTAATGACATGTTTTTTGAGAACAACACATAGACTCCACTTTCACTGTCAAATAGTCGACTTGGCAAAATCAGAAGTTGTAGATGCCCTAATAGGCCTACATGTGTTTAGTGGAGTTTAAAGCTGTGGTAAACACTGGATTTTTGTCACAGTACATGTCAGCTTGTGGAGACCTCAATCCACCTCTGATGACATGATCACATCTGTGTTGTCGATGGTTTCTGACACACAGCGGCTACTATTGCCCCAATGTTAGCCATTAGGCAGTGATACGCTTCATCTAAATAAAACACCCCCATTTCACGGGTAGACAGGTGCAGCTAGTGGAGTTTTCTCCTGTGGGAGCTATAAATTCAAAATAAACTTATACCAAAAACCAATCAAACATATACTAAGTTATCACACCAGTATATTTATATTAATGCTAACAACGAAAAACATTATAAAAACACTTTATAAAAGCAAAACATTATTTTATGTACAGGTTTACTTTTTGTACATATATGTTGCCCTTCTAAGACTTTGTGAAGGCAAATCTGTGTTTTGCATGGTCCAATATGGTGTCACAAACCTAAAAAAAATAATGTACCAGTTAAATAATGGAGAAGCTATTAGTCAGATTTATATTTTTTGATATATAAAAACTATTTTCTGAGATTGTGTTTAAGATTAATTATGCAAATTAACAAACACCTACAAATAGTACACTATATTATATTATATTCATTGTGAATCCCAGATCGTTCATGCTTCTTTGCCTTTTCTAAAACATTATCCATGCTGTGTCAGATCCTGACATTTGAAAAAGAAGGCAGGAAAGCAGAATAAATCTGTAGCCTTGCTGCATGCAGTTAGCCAAGCCTTGCAGCTAAACCAGGTCCTAGAAATGACAGAGTGACCCATCTCCATCTGTCTTTGGACTGCTGATTAATTTTGATGTTTGGCTGACCAGGTCCAAATGCTTTCACCTCCAGCTTCTCTTAGTAAGTTTGCTTTAAGCGACTTCACTTCCACAACTCAACCTGTCAGTCACCTGCACTACAACTGTGATGACAGTTCCTGTCCCCTAGGGCAAAGCTCTCCTATACCTTTGTATTGCAGAGGAGCTACTGCGCATGTACGACTTTTAGAGAAAGTCGTACATGCGCACTGGGCGCCAATCCGACTGGGCGCCAATCCAACAAAAAAGGAAACAGCTTTACCCATCATTAAAGATTAAATATGTATCTTTCACATCTAAATATATATCAATATATTTCGAAATATTTAGATAGTGGCCAAATTTAGCTAGGTAGCTCTAAATCTGAGAATTTACTCTGTACCTTTACTAGATGCAATATAAAGATACAACTCACACAACAATGGCTTTTTAACATTAAAAATGAAAAGCATTTGATTTACTTCAGGTCTGTTTTGTGAAAAGATGCCGACAAACTTGTCGCCCGTGTGGAAGTGACCTCTGTGAAGAAGGGCGGAGCCAATGTTCTCTGCTCTATCCGCCACCTGGAAAAAAACAGGGCATTTCTCAAAAAAAAAGAAAAGAAGAATTTTGCAATACACAGCGGTTAACTCAAGGCAGCGCTCCACAGTTTACCTCTTGATATGACTGCCACTCATACGGCTGGTTTGGTTTCCTTGACCCAAGGCAAGGTCCATTATCTACCATGGCAAACAGGGAGGATCTGTTACTCGCTTTGGTGCCTTTAGGTGTTTTCGGATCAACCTCTAGCACATATACTCACTTGACACTCTGAGTCCTCGCTGGAACACCTGGTATATCGTTTGTGCATCACTGTAGTAATATGTGACAAACTCACTGTCGCTCTCATTTAGTACTGACCTTCTGGCACGCTCTCCCCCCTGTGGACAAATCAACATTCACAGACATGTTACATAATGACTCCTCCAATTGACTCCCAGGACTTACCAAGAGTATAAACTCATTAATCTGCTATGATTGATATCACTTTTAATGAGTCTGGATATCGGTGTCTAAGGCAATGTTCACACTGCAGCCTGAAGTGACCTAAATCTGATTTTTTTCCCCCCATATGCGACCTGTATATGATCTTTTCATGATAGTCTGAACCACACAGATCCAATTTTTTCCAATGCCACTTGGCTAGTCCGATACGAATCTGATCTTTTCAAATGCGACCTGTGTCTGAACGGCCAGGTCACATTCATCCGTCCTGTACTAATACCTGACAAAGGTCCCTATTCTGCGTCTTGCTAAGTAGAAGCGGCAAAACAAACAACAACCATGACATATGATAAAAAATATTGTGTTTTTAAGGTTGGCAAAGATCGATAGATGCGCTCCAGCACTACCATCCATGTTTAATTCCGCAAACACAGAGCCCGCTTGCTTGTGACGTCATTGCGTCCTCTACTGCGGATGCGGGACACTTGGGTTGTATGAATGCAGGTCACACAGGAGATCACATACAAGTCGCATATATTTGGAAATTTTAATGGCAATGGAAAAAAAAACGAATTTCACAAAAAAATCGGAATTGAGCATAAAGCCCTGCAGTGGGAACGTAGCCTAACAGTGCTGCAGCTCAAATGTTCCAGTCAACAACAACAGTAATTTCAGTGCATGGAAATATACACTATAAAGGATAAATGGCAACTGTTTTGTAGTGCCAGCACAGTTTAAATGTGAATAAAAAGCTACTACTTGGCTATAGTTATTTAAATAAACTTTAAGTTGGCAGGTCTGACTTCAAAGAACACAAGTGATCAGTAGTTGCAAAAAGAAAAAACCAAAAAGAAAAAACATGGTCTTTTTATTGGATCTATAGTTTTGCTCCACAGCAGCTGGAAAACAAACAAATCCTTCTTCCTGCAGCATGAGGTCAACTGCTTAATTTTTATGGGGTTTTTTTCTCTTGTAGTTCGGGGGCAGTTAGACTGTTCCAGGACATTTTTCTTACTCAGAAAGTAAGAAGAAAGAACAGGTGTTTAGTCATGAGAAAAAAAGTGGGACCTCACCGGTATTTCCAATGACTGCAGTCCGAGATCACAGGGCGGTTTCAGGGCTTTCGGCCGGGAGGCAAACCAGTAGGTGGTGATGGCAGCAAAGGCTCCCATACCCATAAGGGCATTTGTGGGGAAGCCTCGGACATACTGTCGGAAGTCATCTAGCTCGGGAATCCGCAGCTGTCTAAGAACCTCCTGAGCTTGCATGACTGTTCTGCACTGAAACAGAGGAAACAGCTGGGATTTAGAAAGTCCAACCAATCACAGCGCTACTTAACAGATTCACTGGAACATTTTTTAGACCAAAAAAGCACTAAAAGCACATCTACAAACATTTACTAAGGCCTTATCTAAACAACGAAAGTCTTTAACCCCCCCAAAAAAATCCACAAACTGACATTGCAACCACAGATCTTATAGAGACATATTGTACGTTTTTACGTAAGAAAAATCTTTATAATAGCTTTTTTATTTGACCATTTATGACTAAAACATTTTTGAACAGACTGACACCTTAGTAGTCCAGCACTGATGCTTTCACAGTGAGGAAAATAAATATTTGAACAACCTGATATTTTGCAAGTTTTCCCACATGTAAGTCATTGAGGGGTCATTTGTGATTGTAGGTGCATGTCCACTTTGAGAGACATAACAAAAAAAGTCAAAAGATCACAATGTATGATTTTTAACTATTTATTTGTATGATACAGCTGCAAATAAGTAGCTCATCACCTGAGAAAATCAATGTTAATATTTGCTTACAGTAGCCTTAGTTTGTAATTACAGAGGTCAAATGTTTCCTGTAGTTTTTCACCAGGTTTGCACACAGCTGCAGGAGGGATTTTGGCCCATTCCTCCACACAGATCTTCTCTAGATAAGTCAGGTTTCTGGGCTGTAGCTGAGAAACAAGGAGTTTGAGTTCCCTCCAAAGGTTCTCTATTGGGTTTCGGTCTGGAGACCACACCAGGACATGTCATGTTGGAAGACCCAGCCTCGACCCATCTTCAACGCCCTGAGAATGAGGGAAGGAGGTTGTTCCCCAAATTCCTTCAATAAATGGCCCCAGTTATTCTCTCTTTAATACAGGGCAGAGAGAGACAATACTGGATGATGCTGCTTCCTGCCTTACGTTGTTATTGGACTCCTTCTCACTGCACACAGACAGATGTGCCTGTGAGGGAAGCTGTGGGTAAAGCTAAAATACTATTTATAAACTTGTATAATTATACAGTAGAAAAACCTTTCCTCTTTAATTTGCACGGGATTAACTGGAAGTGCACTGAACAGCACAGGTTGTGAAGTGAATGAACAAAACTTCAAAAGTGGGGGAGTTTGTGTTTGGTCAGTTATTTATTTGTTGAAATTATGATTTAAGTTGGAAAGCCTGTTTTTTATGAAATGATGCCTCAACTGTAAGAAAATTTTTAAAAACCTTGAAAACTTTCCAAATCCTCTACAAATACCAATCAAAGGCCAGATGCATCTATCAACTCTAGTTCTGTGTTGTTCCCCAGATTGGACGACAGAGGTAAAGTCTAAAGTCTCCCAAGTTCTTTAGGTTTTATCTGATAGATCCTTCTGCAATGAGATTGCATCTACCGCCTGTTTTGTCCAAAACATTTGACAACTTCTACGTCTGCTGCTCAACCACTCATACAGTTTCATGACGTGGCAACTTTAAACAAAAAAAAAAGTCTAAGACATTTTTTCCTTTCGAAGTCACCACTTTGAGCTATCGGAAAAAGAGAGTAAGCATGCTAACATTCATTATTCGGGGACTTCAGCCATCTTATCTAAGTGAAGACATCATCAGCAAGAAAAACACATGACTTAAGACTTAAGTAACACATATTTTTAGAAAGTAAGAGGATTACACAGAAACTTGCATCGAAAAAAATATAATAAAGTTGCTGTGAGAGAAAAAAAAACAGTGACTATAGCCTCCTGTTCGTAATTTAATAAGTAATTATTATTTAATAAGTTAGTAATCCTATTAAAATGTGCCATTTTACTTATGTTTAAAAGCCACTGAGCTTTCTAGCTTATCCTTGGTATTTATTTGCAAACGACTCTCAAATGACTCCTGATCCAAACATCCCAAATAAAGACATAAACTAATGTGAACCTGCTTTTTGCATTGAGTGGTTCACCTCCAATTAAAGCTTTCTAGAATATTGCATTTTGCATTGATGGTGCTATGATCTATAGCCAATTACACCCATGCTATCTTTAGGAATCAAGTGATTTTAGCTTCCATTTCTTATTGCGGTGTGCACATTTCTACTTGACATGTTGATAGAATGACTCAAAAACCAGCAGACAAAGGTAGAACTTGTATAGCATAATAATGTTTAGTAATAAAACAAAAAGGAATCATGTTTCAGAGAGAGTCCATTAACTTTGTTGCATTTATTATTCTGTATTTCTGAAATCCAAAGATCAAAGGCGCATAAATATCTAATGACACCATATTTGTTTTTTCCAAATTTTTTTCAGCAATCACATTCAGAGCAATGATTCTCAAAATTGGAGTGAGAATCCCACTTAGGGTCGTGGGTCAACAGGACTGGGGTTTCTATGGAAATTAAAGGAGGCATCACTTAGAAATCTGACTTTTTTCACATAAAATGATGGGTAAGACCTCAGGTAAAACCTGCTGGAAAATCTCAAGTGCGAAAATGGCTTGTTTCTTTCTTTTTCTTCTCTTTGTTCGTACCAGAAAAGTCCGCTAAGATATTCTCTCTTTGTCTGTTGACCAAACTGCCAGGGGACAGTGGATAAAGTTCATCTTTGACAGCAATCTGTGACTCTCCCAGTAGCTCTTCATGTATCTGCTAAACATTTTGCATGTGAATTTTTCTCTAACTTGTGACACTAGTGGACAGAGATGCCATCAAGCCTGCGTTGGGAAAAGGGGTTCATTTCAACAATCAGAGACTGACCTGCAGGCAGTCGGTATCTGTTGCTGCTTTACCTTTTTATTGACTGCATGAGTCACGGGAAACGATGGTAAACAAACAATGGAAAACTGCTAATCCTGATAACGGCCTCTCTAGTACGGCCAGAGAAACTTAATGTGAAAAAACACATAACCAGCATCTTTCAGCTTCTCATGAAGCCCTCTCATTAACAGAGCTGATTTTCAGTTTTTCTGTTTAAAGGGGAAGATTTGTTCTGCTCTCCCATGTAACAGCTGTGCTATGGAGGGAAATCCGACTCCACACACGTTTCTCATCACAATCCTCGACGGAGACATAAGGAAACAACCACAGGCTCAACCACTTGCTTCGGGAGGGGAGAAAAAGCTTTCCGTTTGAGATACTTTAAACATGAAGTCACTGGGCTCAAACCTTTTTTTTTCTTTCTCTCCACTAACACGTTGCAATAAAAATTTAATCTAAAAAGTATTTTTTTTTTTTTAAATAAGTGCATTTTTTTCTTGAATTCAGGATGCAAGTGAGACAGTTTTCAAATGGAACAAGACCATTTACATTTAAAACAAGAAAAACGATTACATAGTGTTATTTCAAGTGCATATTATCTAATTATAAAAATTTAGCAAATCAAATTATTAACCAACTCAAATTAATTTAATTTAAGATTTTGCTTTTACTGATTTCTAGATTGTTTTGTTGCAGCAGAACAAAAAATGTGAAATTAAAATCACACATTGCAGAATTAGAGATTTTGTGATTTTAATCAAACATCTAATGGGCTACAGCTGCTCTTGAAGCGTAAATAATACAGTTGGTAATACTTTTAGATAAATTCCCAGAATAGACTCAGACTTATTAATAATTGACTCTTTAATCGGCTCATATATTTGTCCTAGGTAATGTTTGCTATAAACCTCAGGACATTCAGGTCAAATGATCTGACCTCTGTGGTGAAGGTAAATGAAGTCATTGAGTAAAATACAAATGACTTCTCACCTACTTCTATTATTACCTTGAAGCTCATGGCAAATGGGACTAGTGCCAAGTGGAGCAAAGTACACAAGCAAATAGAATTAAGAGTTATTTGTGAAATAAATAAAAGTATGAAGAAATATCATTAAAAAAACAGACATAACTGCTAATGATTTAGCTTCTTGAAAAAGAATAAAAACGAGGACTGACAAAAGCTTCTTTTCCTCTGACACTTTTACCCATGTTAGAGGAGTCAGATGTTCACAATACTAAACCAAAGTCAGTTGAACTTAAATGCACGTGAGCATATTATCAGACAGCACAGCTCAGATTATCCACACACAAACATTTAACCATATCTGTACTCACAGAGCGTAAATGGCAAAGGGTCGAGGTTGTGTTTCACAGTGGCGAGGTGCAGTTATCTGAAAGGCAGTGCTGCAGTAGCTATTAGAAGGGATCCCACTGACCTCTAATAGACCTCTCTGTTCTCACAACTATGAATAGCAGAAACACGCCCCTCCTCAAACAGAAACACAGACGCGTGAGACGCAGCAAGCCGCTCGCTGGAGAGTCACTGGGAGGGGGACGGGTTGAAACATACCAACAGACTGTTTTGTCATCTTTGTTCCCAAACACATCCGATGTGCAGTTAGCTGGTTTTCCTTTGTAACACAGGTAAACGTAGGGTGCTGCTAGAATCCCAGAGAAAATGCAAGCTGCCCCATAGTGGCTTAAAGACTTATTATTCCACTGATGTTAATGTGAAACAAACAGCTAGACACTAAGTTTAACTTCAATGTAGTGAAATAACCAAACAAAGAAATAATAAGTATGTGTATCTAACTGAGGGTTAGATACACATCATCCGAAGCATCATCTCCCTTTAACAACCTGTTGCTAAATGCTGCTTGTGTTTAATTAATTAACCCCAAAGTCACGATTTCACCTTCTTGCAAAGAAAGACCAATTTGTATGTCACATAAATATTCCTGAATGTCAGAAGGAGTTATGTGGAAACTAACAGAGCTCCAACCATTCTGTCTCCCACAGCTGATGGCCAAACTAATGAATCAGTTCGCTCAGAAGAAACACTTAATGTCTATAAATTGAGGGACTGTTCAGGAGACACTGAGCAGAAACCTTTACTGCGTCATCAATGAAGGACTGTGGAGAGAGAAAGCAACAAGACTGTAGAGAAAAACCTCTGCAGAACTAATCTTGCAACCAAGATCTCTGAAGGAAAACTGTTGAACTAGAGTAGAGGCTATCACTCTAATTAGATAGATAACATTTCGCAGCTTTGGTCGGTATGACTGAAGGACCTATCTAAGCAGAGAGCCTGACTTATGAGCTTGATAGACTCTAAATGGAGTCAATGGAGATGAATATTAATTTTCAGTTTGAAAAAACACCAATAAATTTGGCAATTTTTATCTCTCATATCAGAGCATGCTCTTTTTTAATCATTTCCCAAACAACCAGTGCTTTTTATCTTTCCACTGTTTCTGTACAGGAATCGGTCTTATGAAAGATAAAGGCTTGCTTGGTCAAATTGATATAAAAAAAGAACAAAAACAACTAGATTCAACTCAGTTATTTTATATATATCACTTATTCACAACATATATAACACAATGGTTCCTTTAATGGCATCATCTAGAGTAGAAACATGGCTAAGCAGATGACGGCAGGGACAGTTTTTAGGTTTGAAATATGAAAGAGTGCATAGAGTTGTACCAGTAGAAGCTTAGCCAATAGTGTGGGTTACCCTTTACAGGTGAGAGAAGGAAATCCTGTAAACCTGTTTAGCTAAATTTTCTGGGTAAAAAACAGATTATTATTGTTATTATTTTTATAAACATATTTTTTTATGTGTCTTGTTTGCCAATAAAGAGCTGAGGAATAGATTCCCGGTGCTGGATTATACCTTAGATTTGCTTTAACAAGGTTCATAAGGTTCCACTTGGTGATTTCGTATTAAAACTATTAGAGGCGTCTATGGGGAAAAAAGGCAATGGACACCGAGACAGAATTGGAAATGAGAAAGGAAGAGGAGATGAGAAGTAAGGGGAAGAAAGAGAGAATAAAGGAGAGATTCGGAAAATAAAAACGAAAAAGAAAAATAGAGAAAATACAGAATACTTCTTTTTGGTTTGTTGCGAGTCTAGAGAAATGAGAAGCAAAAGATAGAAAAGAAAAGAAAACAGCCACCATGACAGACAAATGCATACAAAAACCACATTATTAAAGTACCACCCAAGACATGGGAAATCAAACAAACAAACAAACACCACCAAAAAAACGATTAATATGCTCATGGCTGATATGAAAAGGATGTCTCTATTCTTGTCAGCACCTACAGATTATATTTCAGTGATCTTAACAAAATAACTGCAGGCTAAACTGAGCCCACTAGGTTTATACAGCATGAGATCCAATGTAAACGAATTGTAACGTCATAATAGCTGCTGAATTATATCTGAAAGGTGAGGTTTTTGTTCAACAGGTGCATGAAGGTTAAGATTTCTCAAGGTTCTGTATATTCCACCGTTGAGCTTTGAAATGACATAAAGACATGTCCCAATTACTTTACCTTCGTTAGCATCCCATAATTCTCATTCATAATTTGGAAATATGTATCTTTATGGAGGAAAAATACAAACTAATGCTATTCTATTTAAAATTAATTTAAAAAAACATAAAAAATATTTTCAAAATAGTAAAAAAATCTAATAAAATTAGATGGCTGTCTTCTATTTTCTTACTTTACCTAAAGGCGAGACTTGGTAAGAGTTGGTCACATCGTTTTAATTTATATCCCATGAAGTAAAAGACACAATCTTTCATTATCAAATCAAATTGGTGAAATATAATCAAAGGCTCCAAATTGATTTATTTGATTTAGCAGATAATTTGGTTCACCTGCTAAATCAATTGACTCAGAGCCAGCATAAGAAGACGCTGCTGAGAATAATCTTACACAAAAAAAAAAGAAACTTAGTTCAAACTTGACATTTTTATCACCCAATCAATTCGTCAATTTCAGTCAAATTCAGGAAGTTACCAGCGAGGAGGTTTGATGAAACCTCCTTCTGACGCTGGTTCTTTCCACAGAGCATTTGTGCTGACAGTTGTTGGAGGTGAAAGGTAGTTGTAAAAAAAAAAACAAAAAACCCACCCACCTCCACTCTCCTTACTTGGCCTGGGAGAATGACAAGCCAATGGCAGAGCAAGTTCACCAGTCAGACCACACTCCAGCACAAGATCAGGGGGTGTGTAGGGGGGGAGTTGGGGAGTGCAGCAAGGTCATTTGACACATAACAGAACATGAAGAAAGGCCAGCAGCCCAAAGGCACGTTATAGCTCTGCAGATGATACCAGAGCCACTCCAACCTCAGCCTGGAGGTTAGAGTGATATAACTCAGTCACACTTGATTTCCTCTTAACTACACTTAGTAAGGAGTTGTGCCATAATGTCTTCGATAATCAGGAGTTAAAAGGTTAAAGTCAAAGGTAACTCGTTTAAGACAAAATCTAAGAGTGGAGTTGACTCCTTGTCTGAATCAGGAGTATTTGCTGCAGTTTTCTTTGAAAGCTGTGAATCTTCCTGTCGAACTGGACGATTCAGCAGTGACAAATAAAATCTAAATTACATACCTTAAATAAAATGAAGTCTGCTGTAGATATCCATTACATTTGCATATAAAATGACACAGATGACTGAAGTACCCACATCTATTAACATTTTCTATACTGCTTCATCTTTAAACCTTGATCTGTTTTCTTGGAATTTCGTGAGATAAACCAACAAAAAAACAATGCATAACTAATATAAAAGGATAGCTGGATTTCACAGATAAAAATCACAAAACATGATATACTTTAGCCCTCCTCACTCTGTGTTCTTTTGGCTGCATCCATTTTCAGGGGTTGCCATAGCAACATTTGTCAATTTTTACATCAGATGCCCTCCCTGTCACAACCGGCATTCAAACCCAGGTCACCCGCTTGGCAATCGGAGGCTCGACCTAGAACACCATGACAGTTCTGTTTAATCCTCCTTACCCCTAAATTAAAGTAACACATTGAATAAATACATAGTGACCAGGACCAGGATCATTAAACAGTCAATCTACGTGTAGCCTAATCTCAGTTGAAGTAGAATCAGGTGAGAAAACATCATCTTTGGACATCTCACATGGCGAGGCTATCCATAGATAAGCTGGGAGCACTCACAAATTTAGCAAATCTGGGAAAAACAGCAAACATGTGGAGTTAAGAGTGCAGGTAAAATGTGACAAACATTGACACGCATTGCTGCAATCCTCTGTATGCCAAAACTTAAAACAGATTAGAGCATGGAAAGAGACACCCTTCATCCAAACAAAATGACCTGGACTGGATTCATTCTGCAAAGAAGAAGCAAAAAGAAAACACAATGTGAAAGTTTTTAAGAGGTGCAAACTGAAACTGATTTTTTTTTTTTTCTCTTTCACTTCTGACTTTTTGTCACCTTAAATCCTAGTATAACACGTCGAAGTTGTATTTCTAGACAAAATGTGTCACAATGAAAGAATAGTTGTACCAAGAACTGTTTTTAGCGGAAGACACTGAAGTCACAAACCGCATCACATGTAGTCTGTGTGTAACTTCCCCTCTGAGACTAAGATTAACATGAAGAGCTTCAATTCCTTAAACTGTAGTTAAAGGGACACTGATTAAGAAAAGAAATGTGGTGCCTCAGTTACCTTGGTGATAATGCAACACTTCCACACACTCCACACCCTGCCCCACGGGAAGCACTTCAACAAAAAGACTGAATGGCAATAATCATCTACAAATCTCCTTCCTTCTACACTTACAGGCTAATGTTTCATGGCTTGTTTTCCAAAGATGAGCAAACAGAAGCGCTCTAAATATGGCGAAGCAGCCAACGAATCTCATAGAGAGGCATGCTGTTTGTCACTGTGTGGCTGTCAGATGGCTGGTAGACCTCATGCGGCTGCAGTGTGACTTTTCTCCTGCGCTCCCTGACACGTGTTCATACTGCACTCACCGCAGTCAGCTCTGGGTTTGGAACCAAAGGCTGACCTTGCACAAGAAGACCACTATGAGTAGTGCAGGTCCCGACCCCCAAGATGAAACCTCACACTGCTGGTCACATGAGGCGCAGCAGGAAAATGCATAGAGAGAAGAGGGATAGTGAAGTGGGGCAAAGGTCACATGTCTGTCAAAAGTTTCCATCTAGTCCACCCTGTGTGTCATGACACACACAGGGTTCCCAATGCAGGTCACAGAGAAAAAACATCATTCTGATTTTTCTCTCCAGTCCGAGGTCACTCCTTCTCATTTGAGTCGTATTTGATTAAAATCAAGATTCTTGTCTAAGCATCAGCTGTGGAGTCGGATCAATCAACCACTAAGCTTAGCAAAAGCCAATTCAACCTGCTCCTCTTCATTTTATACTTAAAC